CTCCGCGGCCAGAGTTTTCCTGAGTATTTCGTAGTGCACCGACCCCCCCCCTTCCCGAACCGAAGTGAAAGGGCAGGGGGCGGGGGGGTCCGAACAAGAACGGGGGGGGAGCGAGCGAGAGGGCACCCGTGAAGCGGGTGCAACCCTGCACGCAGGCCCCCTGCGAGGGGGGAGGTCGGTGCAGGATGGGCCCGAGCGTCCACTGACGCCCGCGACCGCCTTCCCGGAAAGTAACCACAGCCAGGCCAGTCTGATCTTGGTAAAGCTGCGATGCCCTAGAGGCGAGAGTAGCACCGAACAGGCCCGAGATCTCGATCGATCGATCGATCCTCCTCCCTCTCCTCCTCGTCCTCCTCCTTCTCGTCCTCCTCCTCCTCCTCCTCGTCCTTCTCCTCCTCCTCCTCCACTTCCTCCTCCTGCTCCTCCTCATCCTCCTTCTCCTCCTCTAGGATGGGAGGCAGCGGGAGAACCCCGTCGTCGCAGTACTCGTCGTTGGCGTTGGGGTGAGTCTCGGCGGGGTAGGCTCCATTCCCGCCTTCTGGGCGCCAACAGCCAGGCGGACGATCTGGGGCGAACGCATCAGCCTCCGGGTTGAGCTTGAAGGTGTCCGTCTGGGCGTTGGTGTCGGGGCACGCGTCCACGACGTTGGTGTACCCGTATTGTTCTTGATGCTGGCGGTGATGAGCAGGATTGTCGGTCAGGATCGTGGCCACATCCCTGGCCATGCTGTTGCCTTGGCGCGCGGCGTAGGCGAGCCTCCGGTATGCCTTGGCGATCTGGTGAACCGCGTTCGGAAGCCTAGGCCCATCGGGCCCGTAGTCTCGCAGTTCGCGCGGTCTCTGGTAGCACATATGGTAGTCCTTGGCGAAGGCTCTTCCACGGGCGCCGCGGCCACTTCCTTGCGCGGGCAGGCGCGGCCAGGCGCCTCGCCTGGCAGTCGCCCGCTGCGGGGCCCACCGCCCCTGTGTCGAGGGCTGGGCGGGGGGGGTCCACGCCCGCGAGTCTTGGGCCAAAACGGCTTGAGCCGAGATGGATACGGCTCCCCCTCCTCCTCCTCATCCTCGTCCTCCTCCTCCTCCTCCTCCTCCTCTTCCTCCTCCTCCTCCTCCTCCACCTCCACCTCCTCCTCCACCTCCACCTCCTCCTCGTCCTCCCTCCTCGTCCTCCTCGTCCTCCTCATCCTCCTCCACCTCCCTCCCCTTCCTCCTCCTCCTCCTCCTCCTCCTCCTCTTCCTCCTCCTCTTCCTCCTCCTCGTGCTTCCGTAGCCATTTTGGCTCAAGGGGCCTGCTCCTTAACTTCCCAACCTCGCTCGAGAGCTTGGCAAGGAGTGCCTGCGCGCGGGCCCGCCTCCCGCGGAACCCTCTGCATCCGGCGGCACCCATGTCGGGCCGCTACCTCGTGTGCAGCAACTGTGGTCCAGGCAGCTGGATCTACGAAACCAACCCCCGCAAGACGTGCCGCGATTGCGGATCCTATTTCCCTGAGCGGGATGGGAGTGGACAGGGGAAAATTACCCTGTGACGTACCCAACCCATTTGTATCAATGGAAACGAGGAGTTGGCCGAAACTTGTATGGACAATCAACTTGATGTGTGAGCTACTTGGGAGGCGTCACTGTGCTGGGCCCCGCAAGCAGGCCTCGAAAGTGGCGACAGTTTCACAGATCGCAGCCCCCCAGGGATGGCGAGGTCTAATTCGAATCTGCGTGTGGCGTCACTGTGCTGGTCCCCCCAGCAGGCCGCGAAAGTGGCGACAGTTTCACAGATCGCAGCCCCCCAGGGATGGCGAGGTCCCATGTGAACCCGCGGTGAGTACCCACTGTGCTGGGCCCCCCAGCAGCCCTCGAAAGTGGCGACCGCTTCACAGATCGCAGCCCCCCAGGGATGGCGAGGTCCCATTTGAGTCCGCCGTGGGTACCCACTGTGCTGGGCCCCCCAGCAGGCCTCGAAAGTGGCGACAGTTTCGCAGATCGCAGCCCCCCCCAGGGATGGCGAGGTCCCATTTGAGTCCGCCGTGGGTACCCACTGTGCTGGCCCTCCCAGCAGGCCGCGAAAGTGGCGACAGTTTCACAGATCGCAGCCCCCAAGGGATGGCGAGGTCTAATTTGAGTCCGCCGTGGGTACCCACTGTGCTGGGCCCCCCAGCAGGCCTCGAAAGTGGCGACAGTTTCACAGATCGCAGCCCCCCAGGGATGGCGAGGTCTAATTTCAGTCCGCGGTGTGTACCCACTGTGCTGGGCCCCCCAGCAGGCCTCGAAAGTGGCGACAGTTTCACAGATCGCAGCCCCCCAGGGATGGCGAGGTCTAATTTCAGTCCGCGGTGGTACCCACTGTGCTGGGCCCCCCAGCAGGCCTCGAAAGTGGCGACAGTTTCACAGATCGCAGCCCCCCAGGGATGGCGAGGTCTAGTTTCAGTCCGCGGTGGGTACCCACTGTGTTGAGACCCCCAGCAGGCCTCGAAAGTAACGACAGTTTCACAGATCGCAGCCCCCCATGGATGGCGAGGTCCCATTTGAATCCGCCGTGGGTACCCACTGCGCTGGGCCCCCCAGCAGCCCTCGAAAGTGGCGACAGTTTCACAGATCGCAGCCCCCCAGGGATGGCGAGGTCGAATCTGAGTCCCCGTAGGGCGTCACTCCGCTGGCCCCCCCAGCAGCCCTCGAAAGTGGCGACAGCTTCACAGATGGCAGCCCCCCAGGGATGGCGAGGTCTAATCTGAGTCCCCGTAGGGCGTCACTCCGCTGGGCCCCCCAGCAGCCCTCGAAAGTGGCGAAAGTTTCACAGATCGCAACCCCCCAGAGATGGCGAGGTCTAATCTGAGTCCCCGTAAGGCGCCACTCCGCTAGGCACCCCAGCAGCCCTCGAAAGTGGCGACAGTTTCACAGATCGCAGCCCCCCAGGGATGGCGAGGTCTAATCTGAGTCCCCGTAGGGCGTCACTCCGCTGGGCCCCCCAGCAGCCCTCGAAAGTGGTGACAGTTTCACAGATCGCAGCCCCACCAGGGATGGCGAGGTCTAATCTGAGTCCCCGTAGGGCGTCACTCCGCTGGGCCCCCCAGCAGCCCCCGAAAGTGGCGACAGTTCCACAGATCGCAGCCCCCCCCAGAGATGGCGAGGTCTAATCTAAGTCCCCGTAGGGCGTCACTCCGCTGGGCCCCCCAGCAGCCCTCGAAAGTGGCGACAGTTTCACAGATCGCAGCCCCCCAGAGATGGCGAGGTCTAATCTGAGTCCCCGTAGGGCGCCACTCCGCTAGGCACCCCAGCAGCCCTCGAAAGTGGCGACAGTTTCACAGATCGCAGCCCCCCAGGGATGGCGAGGTCCAATCTGAGTCCCCGTAGGGCGTCACTCCGCTGGACCCCCCAGCAGCCCTCGAAAGTGGTGACAGTTTCGCAGATAGCAGCCCCACCAGGGATGGCGGGAGGAGACGGGAAGGAAGGAAGGAAGGAAGGAAGGAAGGAAGGAAGGTGGAGACCGCAGTGCTCTATTCAAAACGAGTACCCAACGCAGGAGGGTTGGGAAACATGGAAAAGGAGGATCTGAGTTTGGGCGGGGTCGGGGCAAAGGCCCGGATAGGCACGATCAGGATGACAGGCGCCCTCCTGCTGACCAGCAGGATGGGGGGGCCATCGCGGAGGATGCCGAGGACATGCGTCTCCTCGACAGCCTTACTGCGGCCCGCCAGGACTACCTCACCTCCCTCGAGAGCTTGGTCAAGAAGGAGGCCCCCGTGGAGGAGGAAGTCCGCCGCATCAAGCATGGCCTGTCCGCCAATCGCGAAAAAACGGAACAACCTCCTCACGCTACCCCAACAGCATGAGCGACTATGCAAACGTGTTGAATGGACTACGGCAAAGATCAGCAAAAAGGCTTTTGATTTGGATGATGTGCATGGTCAGATTTCCGTTCTGGAGCCTAAGAGGCTGCACCTGTTTGAGCGCAAACACATGTTGGAGCAGCAGTTGGAGGATTGGGAGAAGCAGAAGGATGAGATGGAGGGTAGCCTGTCCCCCCCCCACCGGCAGCTCCCGAACCCTCTCCTCTGACCACTGTGCTCGGCCTCGGCCCCGAGGCCACGGGGGTTCCCGCCGTTGCTTCGGCGCTTGAAGCCCTCCAGACCGCCTTGGGTGCCCTCCACGCTCGCGGGCTTGCGCCTGCCCCGCCTGATCGCAAGGCCCCTGGAGGCCCCGATGCTGCCGCCGCTGCTGAGGGCCACACTGGCCCTGGAACACGCGGGACGGGCCATGCCACTGGCCGCCAGATTGAGTCCCAGGGGTCTGCGAGTGGAGTTGCGTCGGGGGTGGGGTCCCAGCCTGGCCCGCAGCGACTCCGCAAGAGGGATGATAGCACGCACGGGGCCGACGTTGTTGTCGACTCTGACGATTGCTTCAACGATGATTTCGCTGATGGTTTGTGTGATATGCCTTCGAAGCTGCAGCGTAGCTGTAGCTAGATTGTTGATGCGGCGCTCATCTCCTGAGCCAAGAGGACCTGTCAACACTGCTCTGACCATGCCATGCCATGGTCGTTCCTGCACACGGGGGTCTCCGACCCCAGCGAATAGAATCCACAACGCGCCCCCTTGGAAGCTCGGCGCGAACCTAGAGTCGAGCTTTCAACCGACTCCCGAAAGGATGCTGACTGGGCTGGGGCGCCCCCCAGGCTAAATAGGTATAGCCATCAGAGCGCTACCCCACAACGGGTCTAAGCGTCTCGCGTGGGCTCGCTTGATCGGTTCAGCTTCCAAGGAACAAGTCAATAAGATTAAGCATGGCGGCTAGAGCGTGAGCTCAGTAAATCTCGAACTGTCCTCTTTCACAGTGCAACGCGTAGCCGCTCAAGGTCCTCACCCTGAGCTCCAGTACAGAAAAAGTCCTCTGGCCTTGCCGTCGCCCCCAGCATGCACCTCAAGGAAGGCACCGCGCATGCCGATCGACAGTGGCTGAAAACGCGGAGTAGCCCATCTCCACTTGCACGTTGTCTGCGACTGTGTGCCCACCGTCCTCCTCGTATGGTAGCTCTGCTCCGCCGTCGACGGGACTGGCACACAGCTGATGCCTGAGTCGGTCTTCTTGTCCTTCGCGTCATCGGGCTCGGTCGGGACAAGGAGCCACTCTGCCCCCCCCCCCCCCCCCCAGCTGGCGTAGCGGAACCCCGCGTAGCCGCAGACGGCGGCCACGACCAGCGCCCAGACGACCACCACCAGCCAATAGTTCGCCCAATCGCTCACGACCGCGCCGTCCTTGGAGCAAACCTCCGTGTCGTAGTAGCCGTCGTACTCGGTGGCGGGTCCTTCGCACCCTTGAAGGAGCGTCACCGCCGCCGTGATCATCGCCAGGGCCGCTGAGCGGCTCACACTCGGTGAAGTGGCCACGCCTCTGGCGCGCCGAACCCGAACTGCCGCCTCCACGTCGAAGTCCACCTCCTCCGACTGGTGGTCACTCCCCGCGACCTGGCCCATGTCCGTGTAGATGCCGTTCATCGTCCTGAGCTTAACGAAGCGCTCGTACCCGAGGACCTTCGCGTCCAAGTCCGCCTTGTTGTCGTCGGTGCCGACGGTCCCGAGGTCCATCAGCTTCCTCTTGATCGCCTGCTGGGGCCAGAGCACGCGCGCCTCCAGGTTCCTGACCTCGCCAACTCCCTCGCTTTGGCAATCCCTCGGGCCGCCGACGAGTCCGCCAAAAGAGTAGCCGCCACCGCGAAGCCCATGAACTCCAGGAGCGACTTGAAATAGAGGAGGTCCTCGGCGACCGCCGTCGCCGCGCAGTGCGCTGCCACCCCCGAGCTGGTCGCCACGACCCCCTGGCGCCTGCTGAAGGAGTGCATGGGGACGTTGTCAATCTCGATCTCGCCGCTCGACTGCGACCTCCTGGTCTGCAAGTCGCCTGCCCAGTCGCTATCGCCGTAGCCCACCAGCTCCACGTTCGTGCCCTCCGTCGGCCTCGGCGGCCAGTTCACCGCGTCCCTCGTGCCCATCAGGTACCTGGCCAACCTCTTGAGCGCGGCGAAGGCGCCGACGGTGGGGCGCGACAGCATTCGCCCGATCAAGCTCACTTCGCACTGGCAGTCCGCCCTGTCCTGGGCGCAGTACATCAACGCCCCCACGCAGGAACGGTAGATGCCAGCCTGGACGGGCGACAGGGCAGAAGTGCCCCCCATGAGCGCCTTGTGAGCTGGCACCCCATGGCGCGGGTGCCGTGTTCGAGTTCCCGAGGCCGAAGGTCTCCACCGCGTAGTCCAGGTACTTCGGGTTCGCCTTCAGCTCCGCCCCGTGCTCGAGCCGCGTCCTCAGCCTCTCCAGGTGCTCGTAGGTGGTGCCGTGCTCGTGGATCTCGCCGCCGCTGAAGGTCACGCGCTGCCCCAGCTCGTCGCGAAAGCCCTCCAGCGCGCCCCTTGGTCCTGCCATGTGCAGGTCGTCCATGTGGAGCCCGACCACCACCTCAATCTCCGAGTTGTAGAAGAACTGCGGGGCCACCTCGCACCTCGCCATGCGCATCTCGTCCGCGAGGATGCCCGCCATGTGCTCCACCCAGCCAGGCGCCGCCGTGCGCCTGCCAGGCAGCTGTCTCTTCAGCTTCCAGTAGATGCCCGTGCTCCTGCCCTCTGCCTGCAGCCTGTCCAAGTACTCCTGCGGTGGATCCACCACCACGTCCTCGTGCTCAGGCGCCTGGTAGAAGGCGTCCGTCGCGTCCAGCGTTATCACCTCGAAGCCGCGCTTGAGCGCCACGAACTCGACGAGCCTGTTGGAGATCGGAGCCGATCCTGGCGTGAACAGGTCGTCGCGCGCGCCACTCCTGCCAGCGGAACTCGCGGCAGACGAACCTCACCTTGCGCTGCCACTCCTGTCGCGCTGGCTTCCACCTCCACTGCTTCTCCCAGCGCGTGGTGATGTGCTTCATTCCCCTTGCCTCCGACTTGGGGATGTCCTCGCCGACGCCGTGGTCCAGGAGGCTCTGCAGGTGCTCCAGCGTGAGCTCCTTGTCCAACTCATCCTGCACGTCCACGTCGAACATGCCCTCGGTCGGGTCCTCAACCTCATCCGAGATCTCCTCCCAGAACGCGTCGGGCGAGTCGTCCACGCTGCCGACGCCCAGCTCGTGGACCGCTGCAACCCGCGCTCGCTTGCTCCCTGAGGCCTCCGCCTCAGGCGGCAGCCCGCGCCTCGCTGCCTGCGAGGGCGGCGCCCGCATGGTCACGCCTCGTGGCGCTGGTGGCGCCGGCTGCTGGGGCTGCGGCTGCGGCTGCGGCGGGCCCGCCGCCGCCGCTGGAGGTGCCTGCGGCGGGGCCTGGGGCTGAGCAGGGTCCGCTCCGCCCTCAGGTGGCCCTGCCTGCGGCTGCGCCTGCTGCTGCTGCTGCTGCTGCTGCTGCTGCTCATCCGCCCTCGGGATCTCTGTCGCCGCGTGCGGGGCTGCCCGTCGCCGCCTCGACCTCTCGGGCGCCGTCCTCGGCGCCCAGGGGAGGCCCGTCGCCGACGGCAGGAGGTCCTTGTCGGTCTGTCTGCCTTCAGGGAGCCGTCGCATTGTCCGAGCTCGATCGGCCCCCTGCGGTGTCATCGTCAGATGCTCCTGGGACTCGTCGGATCTGCCAACCCAAATCCCACGGCTCCACTGCGCCTCCCCGCGGCGCAGCCGCCGTCCTCCACCAGGTCCTCGATGCTTTGGCCGAGCTATCCGATGCAGCACCGCCTCGCCGAAGTTGAAGATGTCGCCCTTGTAGGGCGTGCCTGTCGCTATCTCGCGCGGGGACTGTCCTCCAACCCGTCGGGGGCACCGTTCGCGTAGCCACCCAGCGTGACGCACCATCCAGGCCCAGATCGGCATCGCCGCGGTGATCCTGGTGCCGTAGCGCTTCTCGAGATCCAGCCTGAGGACTCGCGTCTGGCCCTCGACGATCTTCACCGCCGCCTCCGCTGGGTTGGACTGGCTGCTGTGCTTAGGCGTCAGTTCTGGAGTGACCTTGCCCGTCAGCTCTGCGACCGCCCCGTCCAGGATTGCCTTCGTTGCAGGCTCGGAGTCGGTCCTGAGTCTGGACCTGCCCGTCTCGAGCCGCTGCACGAATGACTTGATGCCCGCAATCGCGCATGGCGATGCTGACTTCGATGGGCATGGGATAACCTTCACCACTCCCGCATCCGAGCTGAGACCCGCGAACATCGTCGCGCATGTCTCCTCAACCTTCGTCGGGCCCCCGTCCTCGTCAGCCGTCTTGCAGAACCCGACGTCGTAGCTGATGGGCGGCGCCTTCCGCTCGGAGTCCTCGAGCGCGACCTGCATCCTGCCGCTCTGCCGCGCCGCGGCAGCGGTGAGCCTCGGCCGCAGGGCCCGCCGAGACAATCGGGAGCCTGAGGCTGTTCCTCTCCAGCTCGAGCTGCACGCTGCGATGGCCCTTCGTCATGTAGAGCCCGTCATCCAGGTGGAGGTTGAACTTGAAGCCCTGCCTGAGCAGCTTCCCCATGCTCAGCAGATCATCGTTCACGCCCGCGACGAGGAAGTCCGCCGTCGCCTTGATGCCCTCCTTCAGTGTCATCTCACCTCCTCTTAGACCTGCCGTCGGTAGCGGCCGCTGCTGCACGTCAAAGAGCCTCGGCGCGTCCACTGCGGTGCTGACGGGGGCCTCTGGGGCGAACCTGTGCCTGCAGAGATGGGCGTCGCTGCCGCTGTCGATCAGGATGGAGCCGCCGACCTTCGCCACCTTGCCGTCCGTCCCCGCCGTGACCGCGAACACCCAGCCGTCGGGTGTGCCGTCGTAGTAGCCCGACGCCGCCCTCACCGTGCCATCCGCTGGCTGCTGCCCCGATGATGAGGCTGCGGCGCCTTGCACCGCTCGAGTGTGACCTGGCTCTTTCTTCGCGTCGTCGGCCTTCTTCTTCCTGCAATCGGCCCGCTTGTGGCCCCACTTGCCACAGTAGCCGCACTCGCCGTCACAGTACTCCGTCTGGCTCTTGCCGTGCTTGCCGCCGTCGCGAGCCTTGGACTTGGTCTTCGAGTTCTCGCCCTTCTGGAACTTGCCCGACTTCCCGCCTGACATGTCCGCCTTGCTTGCCTTGCCCATGCCGCTGGCCTTGCCACTGGGAAGCTGGGCACGAATCGCATCCACCTGCGCCGGCGCGACCCCCCCCCGCGTCTGGCACGCGGGTGTTCCCTGATTGTAGTAGCCCCCGGTGTGGCTGCGAGCTGCGCCGAAGGTGAGCGCCACCTCCTCTGGAGCCTGTCGCAGCACCTCACGATGTGGATCTGGCGCGTGCTCAAGCAGTACGCTCACCCTAACATTGCCCGAGACTCCCTCGCCACTCTGGTCCACATACTCCGCCACGATCGCCTCCCAGGCGGTGAGCGACTGAAAGAAGTCGATGCCCGCCTCGCGATCCTTGGCCCACTTGCCCTGCGGGTTCAGGATGAACCGCAGCATCGCCGTCCAACGATTACATGAACGGCTCTCGTACTCATTCTTGAGCTGGTGCCACGCCTCGAGACCGTTCTTGCGCGAGAGCTTGACCACCCCCATCGCCTTGCCCTCGCAGTACGTGACCAGCAGGTGCCACAGCCGTTGGCTGACCTGCCTGGCGCGCTCGTCGAGCTGGTCGTTCAGCAGCGGGTCCTGCCTCTGGACCGCCGCTGCCATGAACTCTTCGAAGCCGAGCAGCGCAGTGCAGGCCTCGAGCCTGAGACTTCAGTCCCCCCACTTCTCGTCCGTGCCGTCGAACCGCTGCAATCGCATGTCGGTCCGCACGTCGACCACCTCGACCGCCGCCATCGCCGCTGAGGAGCGGCCCTCACGGGCAGGGAGGTCGCGTGGCGCGCGAGCTCAGCTCCCGTGGCGTGGGAACCGAGTTCCGCTACCACGTAGCTAGATTGATGATGTTGCGCTCATCTCCTGAGCCAGGAGGACCTGTCAACACTGCTCCGATCAGGCCATGATATGCCGGTTCCTGCACAAGGGGGTCTCCGACCCCAGCAAATACAATCCACAACAGTACCAAACACGGATGGGCTGGTAGCCTCGATGGCGATGGTGATTACGATTGGCGCTATGACTGTGGCTTGGAAGGGGCTTATCACAACCCGCCCGAGGCTCCTCAAGACCCCGCCTGTGGGAAGCAAACGTTGTGCCCCTACTCTGCCCAGTACATCTACCAAAACAACCGCCAAGAAGGCCAGGAGATCTCGCAGGAGTCGGGCGGCTCGAACGTGGACAATATGCACGGTGAATGTCACTTCCTGGGCAGCCGCTGCAAAGTTTCTTGCGTCTCGACCCCCGTTCGACGGGATCAGTTTCCAGGAGCTGCATCGTTCCGGTGAGTATGTTCCCAACCTCGTGGCCGCTGCTAATGCGCTCGGCTCTCATGCACTCATGAACGCCTCTGAGAGCACAGAAGCCGGTGGACTGTCAGCAGGTGTTGCTATCACGCAGCCATGGGCCACAGGTCTTCAGCGGAAAGATCTACATCATCACCCTGCGCCGCCGCCTGAAAGATTTCTTGCTTCTCAGTGGTTTGGCATATATCCTGGGGGTGTTCCGTGGATCACGCTGTATTTGCATTCTGGCGAGGGTGAGTCTGAACGCAATGTACACATATTGATCCAAGTCGCTGCTATCATCCAGGCCATTGGCAAGCCGTATATAATATCAGGAGATTGGAATATGAGTCCGACGCAATTGGCTGATCTGAATTGGTTACCTCTCGTGCGCGGTGTATTGGCTGTTCCGCCTGGTAACACTTATCACTCTGGGGATGCATCTTCTTTGCTGGATTATTTTGTTCCTCGCGAAATGATAGCAGGAGAATTTACGGTTTCACTGTACCCTGCCCTCCTGGTCACCAAGCGCACTCCAGTTAGGCTGGCGTTCAAGACGACCCTCCTGCAGAAACATGTGCTATGTGTCGTACGCCCTGGGCGCCCACCTGTGGATCGGCCGATTGGATGCGCCCCGCGCCCCCCTCCCTGGGAAGAGCTCCAGGACCGCCTTGACGGCCATCCAGTAGCAGACGTGAGGAATGATATCATGGTTTGTTGTCTGCGTTTCTCTGCCCGTGAGCTTTCTTGCATATTGCAGCAAGAGGTCGATGAAAACAAGTGGGGGCGGCCATTCCGTGCACGTTGGATCCCGGCATCGAAGACGCGTTCAAGTTCCCCGCGCTGCTGCTTTGAGGGATAGTTGTGGCGATACTTGTCGCAAAGGTTACTGCAAGTCGTGTTGCTTCGCAGTCAGGGCCGACTCCAAGATGCACTTGATGTCTCGCGTCGTCTGCAACGGTATTGGCCGAATCCTCTCAATTGCCGCCCCCCGTCGCTGTGGCCATGGCGGCGCCGAATCGTCATGTCACCAAATTTTCTGACGGCACCGGATTCCTGGCTCTAGGAACTTGCGGCTCAAGTGGACGTCATCGCCGCGCAATTTGAGTTGAGCGCTGCAAAGTCCCGGTTCGATTACTGGTCCACGTGGGCGGTGAACGCTGTCAGCATGCCAGGTTCCTCGCTAGCGCATGCATACGTACGGGGCCTTGTCACGTGGACACATTTCCAGGTGGATCCCAGCCAGGACATGAAACATCCGCAAGGCAGTCCACAACATCATGTGGAGTGCCGTGAGAAGTGTTGGCATAATATCTGGGGGTCTCTTCAAAGTATGATCATCCTGCTTGGAACCCTCTGGATAAGCGTTTATTGGAGTCTTTGCGTTTCCCTGCGCCTTCTGAGCTTCGTCGCATGGCCTTGACATACAAGAAGCGCACGTCTGTCGGTATAGACCACCTGCACCCGCGGCACTATGGCTTTCTCTCTGACGAGGCGCTCCAAATGTTTGATCACGCTTTGGAGGTGGATGTTGACTTTGGGGAGTCCCCCAGAAGTGGTATCTACCATTATCGTCAGCCTGCTCCCTGAACCTGAAGGTGTGGATTGCCCTGATCGGCCAGTTGCCAATGTTGCCACGTGCATTCAGCTTCTGACGCGGTGGTTCCGTTCAACTTATGGAAAGCGGTGGTCTGATTCAAACCGCAGGCCGTACGTTTATGGCATTACGGGCGTCTCGAGCTTGCACTGCGTCTGGAAACATTCCCTTCCAGCTGAATATGCTGCCGCGAAGGGCCTTGACATATATGCAATATTACTTGATATTGCCAAGGCATTTGAAAATGTTATCCACCACATTCTGGTTCTACGTGCCTTGGATCTTGAATTCAATGTGTTTCTGCTCAAGTGCCTGCTTGCTTTGTACCGCGGTCCGCGTGTCATCGTTGTGGGATCCGTTCCAGGAGAGCTCGTCCACGCTACACAAACTATCGTGGCTGGTTGTGCATTCTCAAATCTTCTGTCAGGGGGACGTAAGACCTGGGTACAGGGGACTCGGCAATCCCCGACGAGGTCGTCAAAAAATGACGAGGCCGAGCCTGCATTTTGACGAGGCCTTCCGCTGCAGACATCACACGAAACTCCTCCTCGTCAAAATCCGAGGCGCGGTCGTCAAAAAACGATGGCGAACCCGAGTCCTGGCAAACCCAGGTCTTGCGCTCCCCCGATTCTGATGCGATGCGTGCTCATTGAAGATTTGGATCATTTTGTTGAACTTCATCGCTACGTGCATTTGGGTCTAGTGGCTGATGATGTCCAGGCCCTGGGTATAGGGACAAAGAGGTTTTGCCGTGAAACCGCCCCCCTAGTAGCGAACGCGTTGCTAGGCCGGCTACGAGACCATGCCCACCTCCCCCTGTCCATCCCAAAGCTTGTTTTCATGGCCTCGGATGATGAGGTGGGGGATGCGTTTGCTTCCGTCCCCCAGTTAGCGCGGGCTCGCCGACGTGAAACTCGAAATCTTGGGGTGGACTTCGCTGTGAGAGCAGGCCGCTGCTTCAAGAGAAGCGTCCTAAAGACTAGACTTAAGAAGGTCCGTGCTCGTGCGGGTCGGGTTCGCAATTTGGCCCGAGGGATTGGGGGGGACAAATCGTGCCCCCCCCGTTTTCTTGGCCGACTCGTGAATTCTGGTCTGAGCCCTGCTTCCATCACTGGCCTCAGTGACGCTCAATTCCGGGTCGTCTGGGCCATTTTTCACACCGCCTTAGGTTCTCGGCCCTGTAGGTCTGTTACTATGGACATGGCCCTCACGTACAACGTGCGTGACCCCGTGGCCACCGTTCACCACGACACCATCCTCATGTGGCTGTCTTGTCGTTGGGATTCGATTGTACCGCGTGCCATTATGGATCACACAATGCAGCACGCTATTGACACAGTTTCTCGGAGTACTGCATGGAGTTCATTGGCTGGTCCTGCGGCAGTGGTGGTTGCATCGTTGCTCCGAGTCGACTGGTCGTGCACGTCCCCGACTGAGTGGGTAACTCCCACTGGCGACCGCCTTATAGTCACGGATCCTGCTCCCCGTGATGTTGCACGCTTGGTTTCACATTCTGCGTTGCAGTGGTCTTGGTCTCAGGCCTGTCAACGACACGTGCACATGTCTCATCTTGATCACCCTCCCTTCCTCAGCCCCATCGTTCGTCTTCTTGCCGAGGACGGCATCGAGGATTTCGGCACGCGGCAGAAGGCGGCGCTTCAAGCTTTGCTGGCGGGAGCTTTGTTTCAGCAACGACCATGCCCCCTTTGTTCTGCTTCTTGCCCCTCTCTCTGGAAGCACTTATGTTTTGAATGTGACGGGACATCGCCTTTTCGACCAGGTCTCCCGCATCATGCGGAGCTTATGATGGCTTATTATCAGAATCCTGACAATCCTCTTTGGGGGAGCGGGCTCATGCCTGACCCGGCGTACCTCCTTCCCCCTCCCCTCCATGAGCTCTCCCACGATTCGGTCCTTCTAGGCCCCCGCGAGCGTGTCTTCACCTCTCCAGCCTTCGGGGACGGATCTGGATTTGATGCTGACTCCCATTTTACTGCCAGGTGTGGTTGGGGAGTCGTCCGCCTGGACGCCTGGAACCGCGTTCAAGTCGGAGCGTGTGGTTCTCTCCCACTTCCTGTGCAACTGTGCCGGCAGCTGAGCTGTTTACATTCTTGTTTTATTGTCGAATTGCCAGGAGAACCCTGAGGACGTAGTTGAATTTTACAGCGACTGCCAATGGGTAGTCGATTCATGGCTTAAGCCCAAAAGCCAAACATGTGTAAGAATTGCTGTCCATTGCGATTTATGGTCCAAAGTGCATGCCAAAGCCGAGGGCATCGGGTATGACCGAATTCGCGTGGTCAAGGTGGCCGCTCACCAGTCTCTTGATGGCCTGTATGGTCGAGATTTGTTTCTTGCCAGCGGCAACTCCCATGCAGACAAATTCGCGAAGAGAGGCGCGCGGATGCACCCTCAGGATTCGCACGCCGAGACGCGGATCCAGCAAGCTGAGTTGCTGATTCGGAGCCTTGCTATTTACCTTGGTAGGGTGATTGCGCAGTATCTGTCTGAGCTCACGTTTCCCCGGGCTCCGAAGAGGGTCCGAGATCCTTGGTTTGTTCCACCGGTTACCCTGGTGGGTCCGGCTGAGGGCACCCCTCACTTTGTAGTGCACGACCCTGCCACCGACCGATATAGCTGCACATATTGTTGGTCTTCCAGTAAGCACCGATGGGAGCTTGCAAAACAGCCGTGCCCCATGCCACATGGGACAGGCCACGTTGTGCGACGAGTGGGGCAATTTGCATTCTGCCGTCAATGTGGCGCCCACTCGTCGACCAACGTCTCCCACCTAACCAGGTTTTGCCTCAAGAGACCTTCTTCTGACATTCAAAAACGTCGCCTGAAGTATTTGATGGACGGCCGACACCCTAGGACAGGAGCCACAGTTGGTGATGTCCACCTTGTGGGAATGGCCTTTCAAGGTAACTTTGTATTTGCCCCTTCCAGGGGTCCTTGATGCATGATTTTCCTCTTGCTCTTGCTCTTGGCTTCGTGGGACGCGCCGGTCTCGTGGCGCGCCATATCCAGAATCCAGAATCCTCCTCCTCGTCCTCTTCCTCGTCCTCGTCCTCGTCCTCCTCCTCGTCCTCCTCCTCCTCCTCCACCCTCCTCCTCCCTCCTTCTCCTCCTCCTTCTCCCCCTCCTCCTCCTCGTCGTCGTCGTCCTCCTCCTCCTCCTCCTCTTCTTCCTCCTCCTTTTCCTCCTCCTCCTCTTCTCTTCCTCCTCCTCCCCTTCCTTCTCCTCCTCCTACTTCCCCTCCATCTCCTCCTCCTCCTATTCCCCCCCCTCCTTCTCCTTTTCTTCCTCCTCCTCCTCCATGACACTCCCCCCTCCCTCTTCCTCCCTCCTCTCTCTCTCCCACTCCTCCTCCTCCTCGTCGTCCTCCTCCTCTCCCCACCGTTCACCTCCTGCTTCCCTCCCCGCTCCCTTCCTCCTTCCCACCCCCCAACTCGGAGCGCCCCCCACAGAGGCAGGGGCCTCTGCTGGCGCGGCGGCGGCGCGGTGCAGGCTCTCCAGGGCCTTTCGCGTCGTCGTCGTGATCGTAATCATAATCGTAATAGTCATCATCATGATAATGATCATGATCATGATCATGATCATGATCATCATCATCAGCAGCAGCAGCAGCATCATCAGCATCATCAGCATCATCACCATCATCACCACCATCATCATCAGCATCATCAGCATCATATTCAATAGCAGTATCATCACCACCACCACCATCATCATCACCATCATCATCATCATCACAACCACCACCACCACCACCACCACCATCATCATCATCATCATCATCATCATCATCATCATCATCATCATCATCATACACATGATCATCATCACCATCATCATCAGCATGATCGCCAGTATATCAACATTATCATCATCATTCCTTCTCATCACCATCATCCTCATGATCCTCATCTGGATCATCCTCATCCTCATCCTCAGCCTCATTATCCTCCTCATCATCATCCTGATCATCACCATGATCAGCATCAACATCATAATCAGCATCATCGTCATCACCATCACCATCATCAGCAGCATCAACATCACCATCAGCATCACCATCATCATCAGGTTCATCATCAGCATCACCATCATTAGCAGCATCACCATTATCACCACCAGCATCCCCATCAGTACAATCACCATCACCACCACCACCATCACCATCATCATCCGTACCACAATCATCATCATCAGCATCACCATCATCAGCATCACCTGACCATCATCAGCACCATGAGCGTCATCATCATCACCATCATCATCAGCATCAACTACCACCACCGCCGCCACCACCACCATCATCATCAGCAGAATCATCATCATCATCATCAGCATCAGCGTCAGCATCATCACAAGCATCAGCATCAGCTTCAGCACCAGCATCATACCATCGTCACCATCATCACCATCGTCATCATCATCATCATCATCATCATCATCATCATCATTAGCATCACCAGCACCACCACAACCACCTCTAGCAAACCAACATCAGCAGCATCATCATCACCATCAACACCATCATCATCACCATCACAACCACCCTCACCATCGCCATCATCATCACCAAGCTCACCATCATCAACCTCATCCTCATCCTGCTCCTCATCATCATCTTCCTCACAGTCGTCATCATCATCAGCATCATCATCACCATCACCATCACCATCATCGCCATCGCCATCAGCATCATCACCATCAGCATCATCGTCAGCACCATCCCCATCACCATCATCATCAACAACACCACCATCATCACCATCACCACCATCGTCATCACCATCATCATCCTCGTCATCATTAGCATCCTCATCATCATCCACATCATCATCACCATTTTCGCCATCAGCATCACCATCAACATCGTAATCATCAGCGTCATCCTCATTATCACCAGCATCAGCATCAACAACACCTTCATCACCATCATCATCACCAACATAATCAGATTCAGCATCATCATACGTGTGATCAGCATCACCATCACCATCATCACTATCACCATCATCACCACCATGGTAAGCATCGTCATGTTCAACATCCTCATCATCAACATCATCCTCAGTATCATCAGTGTCATCATCATCATCATCATCATCATCACCATCATCATCATCATCATCACCCGCATCATCATCATCATCACCATCACCATCCGCATCATCATCATGATACGCTGTTTCGTGAGGCGGAGACGCGAGTTCTGAGAACGACGGCTCGCTGCGATCAGCGACCTGCTCCTCCAGAGCTCTGGGACGAGGGGCCGAAAAGGCCCCGCTCTGAGGGAATCGAAGACGGTCAGAGAGGAAGAAAAAAAAAAAAAAAAAAAAAAAACGCCGCGCGGGAGCCCCCCTCCAGGGTTGGGCGGGTTGGGAGATGCGAGAAGGGCTGTGGCCGCAATGCTCCCTGCTGATCGTTGGCAGACGACACCCCGCTCCCCGCTTAATCATATCCGCGCACGCACCCCCATGATACGCTGTTTCGTTAGGCGGAGAAGCGAGTTCTGAGAACGACGGCTCGCTGCGATCAGCGAGCTGCTCCTCCAGAGCTCAGGGGCGAGGGGCCGAAAAGGCCCCGCTCTGAGGGAACCGAAGACAGTAGTCAGACGACCCCCCCCCCGCCGCGCGGGAGCCCCCCCTGCCCCCTACACAGGGTTAGCATTATAGATAGAGGCTCTCGCGAGGGACTGGAGGGAGTGAGTGAGCGCATGGTTTAAAAGCGCTGGGCGTTTAAGGGAATAACGAGTGTGGCCCACATCGAATTTATCTCTGCCCCGTAGGCGGACATGAGGGGCGCCAGTTCTATCACATATGCCTGTGCAGCTGGAACAAGTACGGGCCAATCTCGATATATCTTCGGGCTCCGTGCCGACGCGCATGTTTATACAACGGCGTCACCAGGAGGCTCCGAACATGCATCTGTCACTGAAAATTGTCGTCACGAAACTTTCTGGCACATCGGGTTGGTTCAAGAGGTGTGGCCAGAGCCGGCTACCCTGGGGTATCTCCAGAAGGAGCGGCACTCGAGCTCGCCAGGCTGCGGCGATGAGCCGCTACAATCGCTCCGCAAACCTCTGCAGTCGGCGGTGGCCTGCTAGCCTACCTGTAGCCTTGCTCGCCGACGGCAGCGCGGGCGACAAGAACAGCACGGCCACCTCGCCACGCCGCACGTGCGCCTGCAGGCGGCGCTCCAGGGGCGCGCCCAGCCGCTCGTCATAGAGGGTGTCGCCTCGCCACATCCAGGTCGGCACCCCACTCTCGGCGAGGCCCGACCCGATCGTGGCCAACTCGTCCCCGATCAGGAGCGCTTTGCACCGCTCGGCGAGGGCTGGATGCCTCCTGGCAGCGGCACCGCTCGCCCCCACACCAAGGCGCGCTCCAGCTCGCGCAAACACTGGTCGCCGTGAGCCTCCAGCTTCGGCCCGCGCACCTGCGCGCGCTGCCCGAGGCGCGCGCTCTTCTCGCAGCGCGCCATGTTCTTCAACTGGCGCCAGCCTCCTCGCCGCTGCACCTCTGCCTGCGTCTTCTCGCCGCTGGCGCGGTCGATGCTGGAGCCCGAGTGCCGCGCCTGATGCGGCGTGGCGGGCCGCAGCTGCAGCATGCGGCATGCCGCCTTCATCTCGCGCAGCAGCTCGGGGTAGTCGAACTCCCACACTGGCTTCCGAGGACCGAGCATCTGCATCTCGCTCAGGACAGGCCCGATCCACCGAAGCCACGAGGAGTCCAGCTTCGCGCTCAGGTCGAACTCCCCCAGTGTGTCGGGCGTCGCTCGCTCCCGGGGGTGCATGAGGAGCCCCCAGTGCCGACTGCCACCCCTGGCTTCACGATGACGCCAGGGCGTAGACGGAACAGGGGCGACGGCCTGAGGTAGGTCGACACGGCCAGCGCCAAGAGCATCGCCATCATCCGCCGTCCCCGTAGCACCAGAACATGCATAAGGGCACACCAGACGTTGAGCGGCTCGGGCATCCTGGCTCTCCCAGGCGCCAGCCGCTCCCACCCCTTCAGCGCCTTCCACATCCGTGGTGGTGCGTCCGCTCCCGAGCGCCCAAACCTTGGGTAGAAATGGTTCACAGCCGCCGCCGCATACATCCCCGTCGAAGCCTGCTCGCCCAGCAAGTACAGCGAGGTGAAGTAGTGGGCCAGGCGGGCGCCCATCGTCTCCGCTGGCAATCGAAAAAGTCCTGGCGGCCACACAGCTGCTTCAGCTGCTCGAGCACACTCTGGTACTGGGCCCTCACCCGCGGTGTCACCGTGCTCGACTCCAAGTAGCGGTCGAGCGGCACCCCGTCCTCGATCGCACGAGCTACCGCGTGGCGCCGCCTCTTCACACGCCTCGCCAGCGTCCTCTGCCGCTTGAGCTCAACGGCGGTCTCGGACTCGCTGGTAGTGCCGCTCGAGCTCCCCCCGGCTGGCCGAGCCCGCTTTCCAGCGACGCGCCTTCGGGTGGCGGCAGGTTGCGCCTCCGCCGCCGCATCCAGGCACTGCACGCGTGAGCCCCCTGCTGGCACAAGCGGCCCTCGGCCTTCTAGCGGGGCTCCGCTCGCGCCTCGAGCTCGCTCCCGCGTGAGCACCCTCAGCCGCGACGCCGTCGATGGCTCTGCTGCTGGGGAGGGGCCCGTCGCGGTCGGCCGAGCACTCGGCAGCGCCCGAGGCATCGGCAACGGCTTGAGCCAAAACGGCTGCGGAGTGAGACCGAGGCGCAGGGGCCCCATCGGATCCAGAGGAGCAGGGAGCCCCGAGGACGAGGGGGGAGAGGTGACGGCGATGTTCGTTTGTTTCCAGAGCTCTTACCTGGTGCACCGAAGCGGGGCTACCCGATTCTCGCATTCAGCATCACAGCAATTAAAACTGACTGACTTTAAGACTGAATCAGTTTCTGCACGCCGACAGCTTAAGGGGGCCGAACGGCGTGCACGGACACGGGGGGGTCGTCGCCAACTATATGATTCGACTCACCCTCGCCCCTGAGACTCGACTCAGGAGGAAGAGAAATAGGCAGGCAGACAGACAAGGATCAGACGCGTTAGAATCTTTGACGGCTCGCCACCGTCGGCCCGCGAGCCTTCGTCACTATTGTTGAGCTCACCGGGGACCCAGCGGACGATCGCCCTAAGGTTTCGGCTTAAAAGATAGGCAGCCAACTTACGAATCTGTCGCAATATCGCGAAGCTACGACACCTACACCTAGGTTGTCAACTAACAAGACCTGTCTGGCATTGAGACCAAAACGAGTGAGTGCAATACGCCTTAGAGATTTCACGAGGGCCCTGGACTCTAGAATGCCGATGTGCTCACTGCACCTCCAAGTCCCCTGGCCTACGCTACGCCAAAGCTGATGAGACAGGAGAGAGCTGGGTACCTCACAGAACTCGGGGTCCATGTCGTAGTTTCCCCTCGGCAGCGTGGTTTCGGCCAAGGTCTTCTCACCTTCGTCGACGCAGAGAGCGACGCCCTCTCCCCTGGCGGTCAGAAGCTCCCCAAGACCCGCGGCAGAGAGGGCGGGGCGACGAGCGCCCCCCCCCCCCCCCCCCCCTCGGCACGGAAACGACTCCTCTCCCGCCAGCGCCCCACGGAGTTGAGGGCCGCGAGGTCCACGAAGCTCCCCGCTATGCCAAACCCACTCTCTGAAGCATCTGCACGCTGCACCCATCGATTATATGGCAACCACCAATCTGAGACGATCAGGGGAAGCAAGCCTCGAAATGCCTTCAACCCTTCTCGGCAAATGTTCCAAAGTGGTGCTGGATCTTTGCCCATTTTAGTCACGCGCCTATAACAAGAGTGAAAGACGCAAAGCACGGGAGGGCGCGCCAAGCCCAGGTACGTGCAATGCCCCAGCAGGACGCGCAGGTCATCACCACGGACTGCACGAAGCTGGAGCAGTCCCGTGATCGCCTTGCGCACCCTCCAGAGCCTCTTCGACGTCGGGCGCGTCTGCAGCCGCTGGCCGTCCAGCACCACGCCGAGCACCTCGATGCCGCCACTCCGAACCTCACGCCCGTGGACGCGTAGACCCACGGCCTCGAAAGCCTGCACCAGCTCGTCGAGGCTGCTGCTCACGCGCTCCCCGTTCTGCCCGACCACGCCCAGGTTGTCGACGCACACGCAGTGCTCGATCTGTGCCGCGCCCGCCGCCAACCTGAGCACCAACGGCTTCCCCGCGTCGCTGAGGGGCGTGCCGTCGGGAAGGCTCGGGGCGAACTGACAGCGGAGCTCCGTCGCGCTCTGGCACGAGTGCAGGCCCCAAGTACATCCCATCGGGAGAGCCTCGGGGACAAGGAAGATAACGTCGTCGTAGCTGAGCACCTTCCCCTCCAGCATCGCCCCGTGGAGCCCGACCCCCCCGGCCTTCAGGGCGGGCAGACCGAACAAGCGCTTCATCCAGGGCGGCAGCCGCATGCGGTGGAAGGCGCCCTTCACGTCCGCCACCCCCACCGAGAACTCCACGTCCTCGAGCGCCGCCTGGGGGGCCGCCTGCAGATGGTCCTCGGCGCCCCCGTCCTCCTCGAGCTCGAAGGCCGAGAGACCCTCCGCCGTCAGCAGCTGCACCGACGGGGGATATATGAACCAAGCGTTGCTCCTGCGACAATCCAAAATCACACGAGTCTGTACTCCCCCCTTTTTCCAGACGAAAAAAATGCCCACCATCTCCGAGACCTGACGCGCAAATGACACCAGCCCACGTTTCGCGAGATCCCTCGCAAAATCACCGTACCGCCGCCGGCTCCGCACCAGCGTCGGCTCGCTGAAGGGCACCCGCGGACAACGCTCCAGCGCCTCGAGCACGCTCTCGTGGCCGCGCAGCATGCGCTCGCCCTGCCCCTCCACGCACTGGCGCGCTCGCCCCCGAAGCAGTTCGCGAAACGCGGGCGCCTCGGCGATGCTCTCGGGAAGCGACGGCAGCCCAGGTCGGTGAGGGGCGAGCACGTCCTCGGGAGGGCCGCCAAGGCAAGGCGACCTCCCTCGCAACGAACTCCCGCAGGGATGAATGCGGTGGCTGCAGCCCCACGCCTCGCATCGGCTGCGATGTCGTTCACCTGCCCATCGATGCGCTGCATGACGTCGAGCTGCACGGCCGTCGCGGGCGCCGTGGCAGACTTCGCGGATAGCCCTGCAAGCCAATTTAAACTGTCAGCCGCCACGTTCACCAGCACGTCATGAAAGCGCCGCCGACGAAGTCGAGCCCGACCTCGCCCTGACGCCGTCTGGCCCGCGAGCTCCCCCCCCCCCCCCTCGCAGCGGGAAGATGTCGCGAGCGCCGCCCCCAGGCCAAGGCCCAGGCGGTCCTGCACGCTCGAGGCCGCTGGCTGGACCACGTCCAGCGGCCACTCCTTCCATCATCATTTGTCAGCCCCCGACGCGTTCGCATCGGGAGCCTTCTTCGGCCCTTTTCGGCCCCTTCCTGTCCCCCTTGCCGTCGCCTTTCTCTGTCTTCGGCCGCCCGGCCGCCGTGAGGCCCCGAACACGAGCGTTCAACAACTCGGTGTCCTCTTTGGCCCGCCTGGCACCGAAGCTGCGCAGATCAGGCGCCGCCACGTCTCCAGGGCCCGTCTCGCCGGTGAGGTAGCGGGCCATCCGCCAGTTGGCTGGAGCCCCTGGCACAGGGCGGGCGTCGGTGATCACCTGGATTCGCCTCGCGAGCCTCTCCAACGACCGCAGACCGCCCAAGTTCACCTGGTCGTAGGTCCCTGCTAGCAGAAGGGCGTGGCAAATAACCTCCAGCTCGTGGTAGATCCGATCTGTGCGCTCGATGCGGTGCTCTCGGCCCCACTCGGCCAGCCATCGCATCGGGTCGCCGCCGCTCTTGCACATGGCCTTCGCCAGGTGGGCGATCGACACAGGCCCGTCGATCGGGTCGTCGGGGAAGCTCTTGGCCGTGATCTCGCTCACCACGCCGCGCCAATCCTTGAACCTCTCGCCGCGCCCGTCGAAGTCGACGCCGAGGGCCCTCGCGTCGTCCACGCTACTGGTCGCTTCACGCTCCTCTCCACTGCCAACCTCGCCCGCGGTCTCGCTCGTGTTCAGCCCGAGCTGGTCCTTCACTCCCTTTTCCACGGATCTGTCGATCAGCGGCTCCCGCACGTCTATGGCTCGGCGCAGGCGCGCTATCTGCTCGCTGGCCAAGGCGGGCGCACTACCAACAGCCACTCGACGCACTCGACACACCTCCGATCCCGTGGACTTCAGCCCGTCGCTGCCAGTCATCACGTCCGTCGGTGTCATGTGTACCTCCTCGCCTATGGCCCGTCCGCCGCCTGGCTCCACCAGCGCCCAGATCGCGCCGGCATGGGGGAGTGGCGTCCGCCAGCTGAGCCAGATCACCCCGAAGCGCACGCAACACAGCAGACAGCTCAGCTCGATGACCATCGCCCCCGATAACGTACTTTGGCCACTCCTCCAGCTTCTGCCCCCTCGCCGCCTCGACGTCTCGACAGCCCCTGCTCAGCGCCATGATCTGCTCGAGACTCGGTCTCTCCCTGAACTCGCACAGCCGCCGTGTGCCAAGCAACGGGTAGCCCACGTTCGGCATCGGTCGAGCCCCGCTGGGGCCGGCAAGCGGATCCCCTCCGTCGGGCCGCTCCTTCCACACGTCCCGTCGGGAGAGAGAACCCACCAGACCTCGTCGTCCTCCATGCCCGACCCGTCTTCGCGCACACGTCGGGCTGGCCATAGCAACTATCTCTCATGATCCACATCATCGTCCGAGTAGCTCACACGGGCTCGCGAGCCCACCGCCGCCACGCGCCAGAACTCCTGCCCCCCTGCGGCGAGACGCAACGGCACGTGCGCTCTCGCCATCTCTCGTCGCCGTCGCTGCCCCCACTCCGCGCCGAGCCTGCCGCAAGCGCCGCGCGGCGCCGCCGAGCAGCTGCCCCGCCCACCACAGCAACGGCCCGCTGTCCCAGCCTGATGGCGGCTCGGGCGCGGCCGCGGGGCACTCCTGCGCCGCCGGCTCCCGGGCGGGGCACTCGGCCGCCGCCCGCGGGGGCGCCCCAGCCGCCCGCGCGGCCGCGGGCGCGGCAGGCGGCCGCGCCTCCGCCGCCGAGCAATTCGCCCAGGCCTCGGACGCGGCCGCGCGCGAGGGCGGCGGCGGCGGCTCGGCCGCCGACGGCGGGGGCGGCGGCGGCGGCGGGGCCGCGCTCGCCGTCCAGTTGCGAGCCGCCGCCAGCTCGCGCCCCCGCGCGGCCTGCGAGAGCTGTTCTTGGACGAACTGACCGAGCTGCAACCAGATAACAAGCCGCAGAGGAAGGTTCGGAGGCGCCTGCCACTGCATGGCCTGAGAACCGAGAAGGGCTGCGGTCGCAATGCTCCCTGCTGACCGCTGGCAGACGACGCCCCACTCCACGCTTAATCATATCCGCGCACGCACCCCCATCATCATCACCACCACCGTCATCATCACCGTTGTCGTCGTCGTCGTCTTCCAGCGCTAACAT